CCACTTCTCCCCCTTCCAGGCTCCCCAGCCTGCTTAAACTGAGAACTCTCTGGACCAGGATCAGTTTGTTTATAGTATTTAGCAGAATAAAGCTTTAATCCCAGATATATCCCCTGTGTGCCACAGCACTGCCAGGGCAGGCGAAGGAAGGGGCGTTTCGTAAGGACGCGCTGCCCCACGCAAATCTTGCCTAATGTGGAAGCCTGGGCAAACTGTGCACCTTACACCAAACGTGTTTCTATTTCAGTTTGTTTTGAAAGGCTGATGGTACAGCTTTTCCCGCCAATTTTTAAACATAGATGTGCATATACATATACTTTCTGCATTTTACATATATACCTATATAAATATATACACCTACTTTCTCAAATTTTTGCATATATTCATATATATAAATGTATTTATATGCATGTATTTCCCCCAATTTTTTACATAGATATGTATAAATTATACATACACACACCCCTGTACTACAAAGAGACGATACACGTGCACATGACACTAAATCTAATAACCAAACCTCTCCACTTCCCCAATCAAATCAATTGCTACCATCTCAGCTAATGTAATGAAATGCACAGATGGAGCAAAATTACAATACTTAAGGCATGTAAAAGGGAAAGCTGAGGAACGTAATCTTCCTGAAGACACCTTCGTGCCATGCCAAAGAGAGCCCTGCATGGAATAAGAACAGGGTAGCAGGCTTTAATGGAGCCTACCATCCATCCTATTAGTTTGAGATCCACTTTTATGAATTACTGCTCCGTCAATAACGTAGCAGTGCCAATGCAACTGGCTCTAAGGCATGCCAGTTTAAGAATCCAGAACTAAAGAAAATTAATCCAGTGCCCACTAATGATTAAAATTGGCTGACAGGTCTTAAAGCGCAATAGAAAATACAAAATTATCCTTAGGCAAGTGATTTTCTGCTGGAGTTCTGCAGGGATTGTTTTTTACTGTTCTTAACTCCCCCTTCCCTTCAGCAATCCTGGAAGAAAACCAGCGACTGCGGTTGCAGACAATACGGGGATTAGGAGAACAGAAAGCATCGACGAGAGCAGGCCACTGAGAGACATTGATCTGAACTGTGCGGGTAAATCAGACTGAAAATACAGTTTGTGTTTTAACACAGACAAAAGAAAAATTTCTTTAAATTAGGGTGCGCTGCAGAATGAAGCGGTGCTTGGGAACAAAGGGTGGGTCTCTGTTACCTTTGGTGGTGACATCTGAGCCGCCTCTACAATGCCCCGTGTTCAGATCACGACACTTCCACGCTGCAGGGAGGACCAGACACGGGAGGGGGCACAGGCAGTGCGAGAGTCACAAGAGGATGAGAGTAAAAGCAATTAGTGCTTTGGAAACCGGCTACGATCAGGTCTTCTCTGGTGCAGTACAGCTCCAAAGTACATCTAGAAAGAGTCCTCAAACTGTTGGACTGATCATCGAGACGTCTTCTAGAGGCTTAAGGACCATGAAGCAATGTGGGTGTAAAAGATGGAAGGGGTAAGTCCTTTCCTGGCTGATAACCTTCCCCTTTTACATCCACCATCACTACTCAGGTCCCTTTCCCCTGAGCGTGGGCTCCAACACTTGAAGGGACACCGGCCACATCCACAGCTTCTGAGAGCTGTTTCCCCTGCCCTGTAAGCAAGTGGCTTGGCAAGCCAACGATGAGAGCAATGTGCTACCCTCGTCACCTCAGAGCATCTTTTCTTCCTGCCAAGCAGAGTAAGAGGAGTCCCATCATCCACATTTCACACGCTTGCTCCTACAAGGGACTACCCAACACGCTGATGACTCTGCATCGCTCAGTGACAGAGCCACAGGCCTGCTTTTTTTTTTTTCTTTTCAAAGGAAACCAACAATAATCATGAGCTGCTAGAGGATTTTTCCAGCTATTTCATGCACTCTGCTTAACCACAGCTCTTCCCACCTGGCACGCACAAGGGCCCTGAGCTAGCCACAGCCAGAGAACAGCAAGGAAAACACCGAACGCAAGGTCATGGGCACGTCTACACACTGTTCTGCAGGCAGGCATGAACTTACTGTGGCCATTACATCAGCATCTCAGCCAGCTTCCCCATCACCTCTGTTGGGAATTCAGTTACCTAAATAACTGTATTGTTAAAAAAAAAAAAAAAAAAGAAAATCTAGCTGATATATTAGAAGTATGACTCAAATATCCGTTAACTTGACTATATACAATTCACTGTCTTGACCAGAAGAATTGCTGCTCCAACATTTTACAGCTCATAGAAGCATCATGTTAGCTTTATGCCATATAAATACTGTTTTGTGACCACAACATGAAAGTAAGAAAACTCCTCTAGCAATAATTTTTAAAAGATGCAGTTTCAGAGATTTTCATGGGCAGAGGGCAAAGATGTGAACTTGGGGCAGTGTGTTCCCAAATTTGAAGCCTTTATGCCTAAGAACAGGAACAGTGTAACTTCTCCAAAAGCAGCTGCCAGAATACAGTATCTGAAGACATTACCTCTAGACTTTTTCTAAAATAGTCTATTTCTTGCTGAAAATTTCCAAAATTTCCCATGCAAGAGATGTATCAGCATTGAAGTTCCCAGTTCAGAGAGTTTGGAAAAATAATAAAAACTGAAACAAAGCATCTGCATTAGGGGGTTCAGGCATCCTCAGCACAGATGTCCCCACCAACCTCCTCCTCATCTTTCTTACACTCTAATGCAGAATGGCATAGAATGTTACGTGACTTTATTACACAAGTATTTAAGTATCATTACCTACTACGCTACACATAGCCAAGGGTAGCTGTGCAACCTTACCCTTGCTCAAACCTCGTAACAGGGGTTTCAGGACTGGTATCGAGACGGCTGGAAATCACTTTGTGTGTTCAGAGGGGACCTTACGTGAGACCCGCCTGTAACCCAAGGAGCTCCCCACGGCCCAGGTGGGGCACGGCTCCCAAGTCCCATTCCAGGGTCACCCGGCGATTGAACTTTCAGGCTCAAGATTTTACTGCTGGATCCACTTTCTTTTCACAGCAATCACCTTCTGACAGGCAGGACAGAGAAACCTGACACTTGCCATGAGGCACACCGTGACTTTCAGCTAATCCCGTTTAATGAGGAATTCCCAAAGTGCCTCTCAAGCAAGGGGTCGGCTAATCCCGTTCACTGACAGGATTTTTTTACTCTCAGAAAATGGAAAGTGGCTGAAAACAAGAGTATTTCCTTTTATTTTGATTTACCGATATTGCTTTGAAGTGGGAGACCATGACATTTGGATATTTGGAAAATTAAACATGAGCTGTTCCTATACATTATCGTTAAACCAGTAACTTTTCTTAGATGTTGGAGAGAAAGGGGCTTTTAGACCAGCTCTCTCATTTAACCAGCTGTGCTGAGATTTGCCATTTGAAGCAGTAAAAAAATGCTAATATTGTATTAAGTGAAGATTAAACAGCATATAAGAGTATTTAATTGTCAATTTTACTACAGACAGCAATTAGATAAAAACTAATTCTTTTTAAAGATAAAAATGTCATTGTTAAATCCGTATAAGAAATTAAAAATCAATAGTCTATACCCTTATATGAAAGGCACAATATTTTAGACTGATGGATGTACAACATACTTTCTTAAAAATGAAGAACATGTGTCTCCCACTGAGCTATACCGGCTATGTGACAAAAAGGCTGGGTATTTTGTAGTAACATCTGAGCAAAAGGAACAGCAAACCAGGGCAATCTGAACACTGAACATACAGGACCTGGAGCGTACTCAACAGTTTCACAGCTCTTCCCAACATTAGAGACTTGTTAAGGCACTGAGGAGCATCAGCGATCTGAAGATGTCACCTGTGTTCAAAACATGCCAGACATGAAAGAACTCCAGCTACTTCACAGGATTCCTGAAATGAAGTGTGTTGCTTTACAATACCCATAATCTCCTGAGCTTTCAAGAGGAGCTACCTTTGAAATTAAACTATATTTAGGTAAATGCAAAAACAGTGAAGGTTTTCAGTTGCTTTTCAGCACCAAAATTCTCAAAAGAAGTTATGCCGATGCTGAGAATTAATTTCAAATGAATTTAGCACCTACCTCCAACAGTCCAGGCAGCACTGAACTTTACACTGTCATGGTGAGAAGTGGCTAAACCAGCACGATCTTCTTGAACTGATGAAAAAAACGACCTAAGGTAACCTAAATTCACTCCCATTGTCCTGCCACTCGTGGCTCTGTATGAATATTTACCTATAAAGACTCCTTCTCATGGGTCATAAATGGAGCATGATATTGTGAGCTGCAAAAGCCAACGCTTTTCAACATCAGTCCTCATAAAGAGCCTGTTCTGGAGGAGCAAGGAACAACTCTGAAGGTCTGTTCATTCCACACATCATTTCTCTACAGAGTTACTTTTATGTGATTGCCTGCAATGCAGTCACTGCTGTGATGCTTGTCTGCACACTCCTGAACGTGCTCTATGGTGTAACGGTGATTATTGCTAGTTCAGCTGTAGCTACAAGCAGCTTAACACACGATAACCACTTAAGTGTTCAGTTCACCAATAAAACAGCTTTTGCACATTGATTTACAAGAGAGACAGTTTTCAGGACACAGAGATGGCATTCTGCAGCTCAAGCAATAAATCATCTACTGATACCAGAGGCAGGGGGAGCAATCTGAGAAATGAGTAACTGTATCTTAATTTTATGTGTTACGAACTTCTCTGTAAGAAGCATTCAGGACACATTTTGACACACCTGAAATGCATATTCAGTGGTATTTGTCCCCAAACAACTATGCTGTAACAAACAGAAACAGGGAAGTTAGAAGGTGCAAGCCAAGTGTGGTAGCTGAAAGGTATGTCCCAAAAATGCAAGGAAAAAGCGTTGCTCTGGTACCCTAGTAGTACCGTGAAATGACACGGACAAAACTCCAGACTGACATCAGAATGACTTCAGGGCAAGTTTCTGATTTGGCACACTAGACTGAGTTTTCAACAAAATCCTTTCCCGAGACTGACCTCTTGAAGTGGCTTGCCAGGACTCCCACCAGCTCTCCAATCCTGCTGTCATTGGAGGGCTCTTTACTGAAGAGACAGACAATGAGATCCCTGTTGTCTTTCGTGTGGAAGACCACGAGCTGGTCCTTTCCATTGGAGACACTCAATCCTATCAACTGTGAAGGGAAAGCAAGAACAATGTTAGATACATTGATATATCTTTGCTACTTGCCAGGCTAGGTCTTTCCCCTCCCGCATGCCACGCTCGCTCTCAACTTCCACCTCTACCAGAGCGCTGAGGGGGGTGGTGGTGTGCAGGTCCCCAGTACTCCTCCCACAAGCTGCAAAAGTCAAGGTGGAAGAACAGAGGGTTTTTGCAAGTCAACAGTCTCAAAGGTGCAAGGAAATGTTACTGTCTAGCCTGGGCTCACTCTGAGCAACTCTTGCCAGGAGCGGCACTGTCCCGTGTTACGGTAGTGCCCCTCTGCCTATCCAGTACCATTCCCCACCCACCGACGAGGGCACCAGGAGGATTCCCAGCAGCTGAAGTTTTCTTCCCCCAAAATCTCACACTGGATGACAGCGCATCATTCAGTGGCAGAGCCACAAGCCTGCTCTTTTTTTTATTTTTCTTTTCAAAGGAAACCAACAAGAATCATGAGTCTGGCCAACAACCATCTTCAAATTCCCATACACAATGCTGGGAACACAATGATATGCAGATAACATAAGAATTAAGTTTACTGAATGCCTAAACATCTTGATGAAGACTGTATGTTGCAAACCCTGCAAAGCTGTGATGATTCCAGTATTTAGGCATGGATTAAGGTCTTGCTGTTCTGACAAAACAAAAAGGTGTGGGGTTTTTGCTTTCTTCCATTTTGTTTTTGTTTCTGTTTTTTTTTTTTTTTTTTTTTTTATCTGTTAAGTAACTGCCACTTAACACATTAAAAGGTTTTGTCCTCATCATCTCACAAAGCAAAACTGGGGAATTTTTAGGAGTGGCCATCTGGGTACACAGGCTATTCAGATGAAGATCAGAAAAAGCAAAAAATTAATCTGTGCTGGGGAAACAAAATATAAGGACTGCAAAAAGAACATCAAGAGGCGAGAACATTTAACAAACTGGTGCTAAAAAAAGAAAAAACCCAAACAAACAAAAAGAGAAAGGCAAAAGAATGCAGAGTACAGAGGGAGAATACAGCAGACCTCCTCTGTCCACTAACCAACTACATGACTCCTTTGAGTCATCCAGAGGTTTGGAGAGAGAAGCCACATTCTCCTAAAAGTGAGAAGCACCAATACACCATTTTGTGGAAATGAAAGTCTCATTATTTCCTTCTTAAAGAAAAATCCCTTCTATGTAACCCCACTGCCTGTGTGGGAAAGGGTATTAGCACAAATCGAGCTGGAGACAACTCACTCCTTTCAGAAGCATGAATCATATTCAGAAACGGTCTGGATCCTTGTGTTTGGTTTAGCAGTCGCAACGTATTATTTCCAAGAAACCTGTTCCAGCTCTGGATGTCTAACACACACCAGACAGCAGCATCGTCCCAGCAGAGCACGCCACAACCAACATGCAGCGGTGCGGTGTATGCCCTATTTTCTGGATGAAACACTACACAAGTTTAGAATCACTCACAACAACAGTTTGTTGGTTTATTATCACAGTACAAGAGTCTGTCTGAACTACAGTAGCTGCTGGTATTTTAAAAACTTATCTGAGACCTCCTGCTACCAGTTGCATAATACACCCAACACAGGTGGAGTTTATTCTCTACTGTTCATGCTATTTTGAGGTTATGAAATACTTTAAAAACAAGCTACACTTCATGCACAGACATTAACAGCTGCCTGGGTTTATAGTGTCCCTTAAAATTAATTTGCATGCTTAAATAACATCCTGTGAGCACAATAGCACCACAGGGACTACTGCCATCAAGGTTTTAAATGTGCACTGAGTGTGAAAGATGAACAAGTTGAAATCTCTGGATTTGAAAATCCTATTTAAACATTAATTATTCAACAGAACCATGTTAGAGGTCCAAGAGCCCTTCAAAATTTTCTGATTTCACCCCTCCCCATAAGACTGTCTGAACAAATAAATACAGCACAAAAGAAATAATTTCAGAGAAGGTGCTTATCTCAGTATTTACAAACACTAATATCAGCTCTTCTTGAAGATCGGGAAAAAATTCTCAGCATCCCCAGAACATCCTTTATTGTATTCACCACTGTACTGAGAAAGGTAGTTGCAAGATCCTTTCTGCTGCTCAGTCACCTTTTAATTCCTTTCTGCCAATATCTGTTTATTTTCTCTCCAGGAAAGAACAAAAAGATACTTGTATATTGGTACTTCTGAGGCAACTGCCAGAACGCTTGCACACAGAAAATCCCCCAAAGTAGCATCTCAATCCAGTGAAATAGTCAGGGTTGAAAAGAAAGCTATTGCTTTGTCATCATTTGCACAAAATTACAAATTCCTCACACAGAACACAAAATAGCAGAATGCAGAGCCTGGGACCCGAGCAGGCACGCGCTACGGGCTGCACTTAAACCATTTACATGTAAACATAGTTAAAGAAGATGGGGAACTGTAGCGCGATTTCTTCAGCCAAAACCAAGTTTATGGTCGTAACAGACATCAGCTGACTGTCTCCAATGATATTTCCATGGAAACACCATCCCTGAGGATGCTGCCGTGTTGACAGGGTGCTTTCGAAATGCTGACAGCCAGCAGCACAGCTAACAAGCAGACAGACGAATTTCAGCTGGGTTCACCTTTCCATATCGGGAGGGCAATCCATCTTCCCCAGTGAACATGCATCCTTCTAGTAGGACATCTGATACAGGGGTATACACCAAGACCGGAGCAATTATTATCCATTTGCTTCTTAAAAATCTTCCTATTAGTTCAAACAATTGTTTTCCCGAAAGGGAAGGAGTCTCTGTATCACTAACTGGCTACTTACACCACCCCCCTGTACACAGCGAAAGGGTTTCCATGCAAGAAGGGATTGGGCAGAAAAATGAGAGATGCAAGGCAGCTCACAATGTGAAAGACAACATGTATTCAGATCATTTAGTAACAAATATAAAACAGAACTACAAAAGGAAAAAACAACTGCATTACGGCGTTAACCATTAACAGGAGTTCAGTATACAAAGTCCTGGCAATAGAGATACCAGTATTTCCTGTGCTTTATATGCACCAAAACCATTCCCAAACTCTCTCCTCCTCCCCTCTTGCTGTGGCGCAGAGGGGTCAGCGGGAAGCCAGCAGGACTAGTGAGCATGCCCTAGCACCACGATGCAATCCCCACGTGTACGGGCTGATTTTCTACCGTTCCCCAGGACCACAGTGCTGAAGGGAAGAGGAGAGGCTGCGGCCAACAGAGCAGTAAATTTATTACTACAACATTTACCAAAGATAGCTTTTGTCAAATTGCCACTGTGGGATATTATTCTGCCACCTGTATGAGTCAGTGAAGGGTCTGTCGGACCCATCCTTCCCGTGCAAAGCACTCCAGGACCCCTTCACAGTTGCTCAGGTCAAAGAAACTGTTCGGACAAGAAGCCTTGTGGTAGGTTGTTAAAGGGAATAATCACAGATCTACAAATAAAGATGATTAATACCTATGGAAATTTAAGTATTCAAAGAACAAGAGACCTACATGTAGAGACCACTAACTGTTTTGGTGCCAGAGGAAATGCAGAGCAGTCAGCCAACATACAGTTTGTGCTACAGCGCTCTGTATGAATGGATACTCTATTTTAGACATCTGTGTTTTGTGAAAAAACAGTAACTACTAACATTTCAATGTAACAGATATTCTATAGGCAACTTACAAATTGTATCCAACTTGCTCACCTCCTTTAATTTTTAAGTCATTAATCATACAGTCATAGAATGGTTTGGGTTGGAAGGGACCTTAAAGATCATCTAGTTCCAACCTCACCCCACCCCGGGCAGGGCCCCCTTCCCCCAGCCCAGGGGGCTCCCAGCCCCGTCCAACCTGGCCCTGAACCCTTCCAGGGAGGGGGCAGCCACAGCTGCTCTGGGCACCCTGGGCCAGCGCCTCACCCCCCGCACAGGGAACAATTTCTGCCTTGGATCTCTTCTAAATCTGCCCTCTTTAAAACCATCACCTCTCATCCTGTCCCTGCACCCCCTGATCCAGAGTCCCTCCCCACCTTCCCTGTCCCCCCTTTAAGCCCTGGGAGGCCGCTCGAAGGTCCCCCCGGAGCCTTCTCTTCTCCAGGCTGAACCCCCCCAACTCTCTCAGCCCGGCCCCCCAGGGGAGCTGCTCCAGCCCCCCCAGCATCTCCGTGGCCTCCTCTGGCCCCGCTCGAGCAGCTCCGGGTCCTTCTGCTGTTGGGGGCCCCCGAGCTGGCCCCAGCACTGCAGGGGGGTCTCCCCAGAGCAGAGCAGAGGGGGAGAATCCCCTCCCTGGCCCTGCTGCCCCCCCTGCTCTGGCTGCAGCCCAGGGCACGGGTGGGTTCTGGGCTGTGAGCACACGGTGCTGGCTCACAGGCAGTTTTCCCCCCACCAACCCCCCAGTCCCTCTCCTTGGGGCTGCTCTCCAGCCGCCCCTCGCCCAGCCTGGGTCTGTGCTGGGGATTGCCCCGACCCACGGGCAGGACCTTGCACTTGGCCTTGTTGAACTTCATGAGGTTTGCACAGACCCACCTGTCAAGCTTTAAGCCTCAAGGATTTCAGAGGAAAACATTCAGACTACCAACAGTGACTCCGTTATGTAAATAAATGTTATGTTATGTAAATATACAAGCTCCACATTTAAACCCATCAGACATACAGGTAAAGCAGACATTTTTCTAAAGCTGTGATAAATTCAGATTTACTTACAATTACTAATGCAGTAAGTGAATTGCAGTGGCCTAGTCACTTGGTATAAGGTATGAGTGCAGAAAACTAATAGTGAGAAATTGTGACGGAGAAAATTCTACCTTAGCTCACCTTGACACTTCACAAAAAAACACATTTGTACAGGAAAAACACTCTGCTTAGAGTCTTTATGTATTTGAACAATTTGGCTTGCACAAACAAGAGTCAGCCATTTAGCAGCATAATCTGCTGACAATTTCATTTTGCACAATTAAGAGATAATGTCAGTAGAACGGAACATCAATTGAGGAAAATGACCTGCAGCTGCTAACTCCCTGGCAGTAATGTCTTTTCAAAACAAGAGACACTGCTTTGCTACAGCGGATGCTCTTGCTAGGGTACAAGCACGTTACTCCACGCACAGACACTGCGGGGGTGGTCGGTGCACAGCTTAGGTGGATGACCAGCAAGGAGGTCAGAAGAGGACCTATAAAACCAACATTACAGATGCAGTCTGAACTAATCATTCACTCCATATTTGCAGATTAGATTTTACTGTTAACCTAATCCCAACTCTGCTCTTTTAGCAATATGGGAACACCGGATTTATTATTTCTCCAAATGCAAATGTCCCAACACATCTGTGTACGACATTTCCAAGCAACCCAGCCAAGTTCTGTAGGTTTAAGATAACTGTAGTAGTGTTACCTCAGGCTGAGAAAAACAAACAAGTAGTTGAATCCACACTCAAGGATGCTGAAGAGCTACGATGAGGTTTTTCCCCATCCCCCTTCATACCAGTGATAATCTGCTGCTTTGTCACTGGCAGCTAAACTCTGCTACCCTGAAGGCCAGATACCTCACTATAATTCTGAATTTAGCTTTGATAAGATTTACATTAAACATGAACAAATATAAAAAAAAAATTTCAAACACGACACGAAGGATCAAACAAACCCCCAGAGACACAGAAATTGTGTCATAAGCTGCTGTGAAATGCTAACCCCCTTATGGGGCTAGGATCCTGCAGCACACAGAAGATAAAAAACAAAATAGAAGAATGAGCAGAAGAGAGTGTGATAAGCAGTTTGGGTTTTAGCTTTTATTTTATGCACTGAAATTAAAAACACACGATGCACCAGTGCTGTAGATAATTGCACTGTAACTGTTTTAAAGACATTAAATATATGAAAAATTGTAAACCAAGGTCTTTTTCCATTTTATGAATATGAAAATAAAGCTAAATAGTAGACGCATTGCCCATGATTAAGAGAGCTTGAGATGAAATTCCCCAGTCCTTCTACTTACATTATAGAGGGGGATGGTCTTCATCACTTTGTACTGCTTCATAGGGTCCATCTTATAAAGGTGTCGATCAGTAATGAAGATTGCTCTGTCCTCCACCTTATTAAAGCGATTGACCTGTAAAGAAGAAATTTTTCAGTTCCACTCATCACTGCAAGAACATGCAAAATAAAACTTTGCAGCAGTAAACACGCAAAGCTCACGTAGCTCTTAAAGAGGTTTTCTTCACAGATCTTGAAAACAGTGACAAGGGAAGATGGACCCCATAATCCCATTTCACAAACAGAAATCCACAGCATCTTGGACAAGCAGCATCCCCAGAGTTTTCCAGCAGGGCTGGAAAAGCATGGTGCAGAATACCCGCCCCGCAGAGCTGAACAGGGTGCCACCAAGGTCTGTGACAGTCCAGATCCGAGGCATTTGAAAGCAGATGCTTTGGACCACCCTAACTTTGAACAGGTCCCATCTCCCTCTTCTGAAACACCCGGGCCTTGGACACAGGTAAGCAACTTGCCCACGAAGGAGCAAACCTGGACAACCACCCCTCCCCTGCCCGATAGTGGGTGTGTTAGCTGAGTACGGGCACGCTCCACCGGTTTTGCTGAATTTGTGCCAGTTCTGCAAGGAGGAAAAAGAGACTGAATGGGCCAGAAGGGGCCCGGGTGAGCCAAGCCTGTGTGCAGGGACTTAGGCAACCAGCTGGTGGGAGGAAAGCAAGGTTAATTCTTGGCAGGCAGAAGACCCAAGCTGGGGTGCCCTCAGGCTGCAAGGGGTATTGAACACAACCCTCTCCCTTCCTAAGCAAGAGGGGCAGAGCCAGAGCACAACCAGTCTCATCTACAGGCTCACTATCACTGAGGACAACGTCCTGTTGTCTCTTCCAGGAGGTCCTAACCCCATATTCTGTGTTAGTTCTGGGGCTCATCAGCCCCATCCATCCACTAACCTGACAAAAATGTGACCTTTTTGTGAATTTAGCAAGGGAAGGGCACAATGAGCACCAGAGCCACTGCAAGGGAAAGAGGGTGAGGCCCTGGGTAGTGATAAACAGGGGGAGCAAACAGGATGGTCCTGTTGAGCAGCAGCAAGCTATGAGCTCAGTTCAGCTGTGCCAGACCCGCACTGCGAGTATGGCAGATTTTTCTATAGAGGTGGACATTGCTCAACCTGTTTAATTTGACTTTTTGTTCTGTTAAGGACACAAGGCAAGGAGGTCTAAGAATCACCAGTGGTCTCAAGCTCCTCAAAGGAAATTCTTTAAACAGGATCTCGCTGCCCAGCTACGCTGCCTAGGGCTACTCTGGGAACACAAAGAGCAGAGCTACAGCATCCTGCAAACTTCCTGATCAAACAAGCACGCACCCAGAGGCATCTGTGCACCTCTGAGGTTAACTGACACTGAGTGAGATTTTTAGTTGATTTGGGTTTTGTTAAATGCTTGTGCCATTCTCAGCTTATTTTGAATCCGGACTCTGGTCTCCTGACTTCCACTCCACTCCTATAAGGTACTTACTACTAAGAAAATCATAGTGCACTTCAAGCAACTTTAATATTGGCTTCCGAAAAGAGGCAAAGGTGTTTTAATCTTCAAATGACTGTACCCTCTGACAAAGGTAGGGTACAGAGGAGATGAAGCTAGGCTTCCTGGAGAAGTACAGCAAAAGGACAAGAGGCAACGGACAGAAGGTGCAACAGCAGCAGAAAAGTTCAACTGGACATAAGGGAAAAAAATCCCCCCAGGAGGGTGGCAGTCCTGGGACAGGGCTCAGAGCTGTGTAACCTTCATCCTCGGGGCTTTTCAGAATTCGGCTGACTCAGAGCCCCTGCAACCTCATCTAACTCTGAAGTCAGCCCTGCTCAGAGCAGGAGGTTGGACCACAGACCTCCAGAGGTCCCTTCCCACCTAAATCATTCTGTGATTTCATCAGCCCATAAGATACCACGAAAAAAGACTTCACAGTATCTGAAATATTCTGGCAGTTTCTAGTAGTTCCGCAAACACAGCTGAGTGTCACCACTGGGAAAAATGAATATCTTAATATCTTAATGTTGCCACGGGGCTCTATGGTTGTAAATTTAAGACCAATTATAGATACACGCTATAATTCAGTGAAGAACCATTAGTTACCTGCTGAGGCAAACCACTATATTATCACCTGTAATCTCACTGGCGGTCAACAGCAGCAGAGATTATTTGTATATATATGTCCCAACCCTCACGGAATAATTTTAGGCATACTCAGGAAGTTGGTTCACGTTAATTTGAACTCAAAATACTACTCACCTGGGATACTGCTTGCATAACCAGGCACTCACTGTATGGGGAAAATAAGTTCAGTCTGGCAGTGTACTTGTGTCTTTTGTGTGGATCAACCCTAACATTTTAAAATTTATTTTTAAAAAAGCAATTATGCTTAACAGTTCTAATAAGGTAAAAATTAACTGTTGGAAGACAGCAATATGTGAACCCCTCAGCAAGTACCACTGAAAATAGCCAAGTGCACAGCCCCACGTCCCAGTATTTTGTTGCAGTTCATACACCCAGTTTCTGTGTAGTAAGAGCAATGGAAGAACAGATTAAGCACCAGATAATGATGCAAAGTAATGACATGGCCCAGCAGCAAGACACGTATAGTGGTCATATAATGACATAATTTCCCTTAATTCTAGGTATTCTGATGTTCTGGATTCATGTCTATTTTTGGCTACCAATCATGTTTCCAGCAACAGCATCCCTCCAGTACCAGACAAATTGTATCACCAAAACTGCTGCCAAATGCCACACAAGCACCTCTGGAAAATGACTGTAAAAATATGCAACTGTTTACTAAAAATGTACTCATTCAAAGGGTACAAGATACTAAATGTTGTACCTTCACAACAACATCTGATCTGGGGAAGATCCAGGAAGACTGAAGCTAACGAACCACATCCCACACCTTATGGAATTAGTGTGATTGTTTACAAAAACAGAAGTGGGAGGATCATGTTACAGCAGGAAACAAAATTATAATCTCTCCAGAGAAGCGTTTCATACCCTGGGATCACGACTTTTGTTTGTATCTTCTTTCTCAACACAGATCATTTCAATTCTCCCCATCCCACCGCAACTCATCACAAATATTCTTCTAGGCTGCTGGTAACAGGCTCCAGCAAGTGGGGTTTTCACAGAGGAAACACACATCTCACTAACATTGCAATTAATTTGTCCAGGAAATACTACACCAAAGGAGAACATTTGACGCCATCTAGCCTTTCAGATGCCCCAAGAGACCGACCGGATCACAAGGCAAAATGCAAAGTTTTGTCAAAAGTAAGTGAGAAAGTAGGACAGAAAGTAGAAATTATTTTTCACTAAGGCAAAACTGGAGTCATCGGTGTATCACAGTCACAGGGACATTTATTAATCAACTGAGAAGGGTAGACAAGGGTAAGACATGATGAGGCGGATGAACATAAATAGGATTTTCCTAGGTGAAGTCAGGAGACAACTGGAGAACTTAAATATTCTCAGTCAATAGGCAGCAGAGTGACAAAGTTCAGAGCAGATAAAGGCAAAAAATGCAAATTGGAGAGCTATATGACAGCTTTAAATTAACAGCACCAGCTCAGAAAAAGTAACTGAAGATGATTTTAGACAGCTCTGGATAGATCTTGGCACAAACATGTGAGGCAGCTGAAAACAAGCAAGGCATTAGCATGTGGTAAAGACTAGCATGGGAATGATGTCCTGGGTGCCACGGTCTTACTTGGGATAGTGTGTGAGGCACCAGAATGGTGACTATGAAGGAGACTCTAATGGGTCAGAGAAGGTAAAGAACATGATTGAGGGCCTGGAAAATCTCACAGGAAGAGATGATGAATAATTGGGATTATTTTAGGAAGCAGATGAATGGGAGAAAAAAAAAGAAAGGCTATGAAACACTGAATGGCCCAGAGAAAGTAGGTTAGGAGTGTCTGGTGCTACACACTGAGTTGTTTGAGCGGAGTAGCACAGGCTCCTCAAACTGTAATTTGGCTGCGCAGCTTACGGCACCCCACGCTCCATGGCTTGGGAGTTTCAGCAAAGGCTTCTCCACTCTGTTAGGCTGTGACCTGCCCCACACAGACCTCAGATCTGACGCTGCGTGCCAGGGTTCCCAAACACGTCTTTTTGATTTATTTGGAATTTTTTTGACGAGTCTGACAACAACCACCCGGTCGCTGCCACGATCCCTCTTGTTGCTCCCATCACCACGTCCTGCCCGTTGCCCGTGCCCACCGCCGGCACGCAGCCCAGGGTGCCAAAGGGGGCAGAGCCCACTCAGCTGGGCAACCAGAGCCGCCCCACGCAGCAGGACCTGCCGCTGGTGCCCAGACAGCAGCGCCGGGAAGCCGGCCCAGCGCTCGCAAGGCAAGAGAATATTGTAGCAGCTCCACAAGCATGCTTGAAACTCTGCTTCTTTCTTGTGGTTACCCACTGTTTTTAGTGTTCAGACTGAACAATAAATTCAGCTGAACAGCTAAAGAGATGTACCAAAGGGGAAGTCCATCAGCTTATCTCACCTAAGAAGCGAATTCTCACTGCTCTACAGCTCACGTCCTTTTTAGCTCTTTCCAAGCAAACGCTTTGCTTCAGGTGTCTCATGCATCTATGGCATATTTATGTAAATAATACATGCTGTGTTTTTAGAAGCAAACTGTCACATTGGGAAGCATGCACTGAAGAGATTCAGATAAATGCCAGCACCCTTGCAAACGCCACTATTCTTTTGATTTTGTAGGAGTAGAGACAGGCCTTATGTTCTCAGATACGACTTATACCCTCCTGGAGAACAGCCCTTCCTAGCATTGTGTTCTCTGCACCTTCTGGGCATTTTTTATTTATATCTTTGTTGATCCAAACGTGAATCCATCTTAATTTAGCTCCTTGACTACCTTATGGGGAAAAATGAAGGTCTAGCCTATAGCAGAAAAACTTTTAAATGAGCTTTCCAGGTCTCTGCCAGGGGCCTCTAGACATGGCAGAGCACTGGGCTTTGGAAGAGATGGTCCTCTCAAGGGAGCCTAGTGCCACAAATGACAAAAGAGGAAGTAGGAAGAAAAGTCTTATTCCTAAAAAAAAAGGAAAAAAAATTAAAAAAAAAAAAAAGAGAGAAACTGTTGTTTCCTAGGTGATACAACAAAATCTGGTGGTATGTATGAAACATGCATTTGGTTTCTCAAGGCAAAAAACTTGAAAATTTCCTTTGAAAAATTAAAAGAGCTTGATGCTCAGAAAAGATGTATTTATCCATAGGCAGAAATGACCTGCTTCTACCGATACCTACTGCGAGAAAGCAAGCACATGCACCTCCCATCAGTGAGACTTCAAAGCCTCTTCACAGACCTTCTATAAAAAGAGCCATAAAAGCTTCAGTCCAAACAGATTCACCCGTTATTATTCATCTCAAGCTGTTGAAATTAAGACCCCACGTACTCAAGCTAAAGAAAACTTTACCAGCAGTTATCAATACTTCAAGAGCAGTTCCCTGCCTGGTGAGAGTTGGTGTTACTTCACTAGAATAATGTCAATCACCAGCTAAAAAAAAATGTGTCTCAAACAATTTAATGGTTAGCAGATATTTTACTGGTCACAGGATGTGTTCTATGCATAAACATTTTAAACACGTGAACTCCAGGCTTAACTTGTGTCTATTCACGTTTTCCAGTACTTACCCTTTTAATTTCTTTTCTTTCCAAGGAAAGTAGTGTATTAGACTGCAATTATCTGCAAATTTTAAAGAGCAGACATCTAACATCACTGTTGACAGCCAAGAACTACTTCACACGTGCCGTGATGATTTGGTACCTGACTGCAAGCTGCAAACAAAGTATGATGCTCCAGAAATAAAACATTTCACCTCAATTCACTACAGTGCTCTCTCGTTACCAGCAACACCTTCCTGCCTGCCTAAGGCACCAGCAGTAACAGCACATTTTTTGCTCAAGAATCCTCAAATAAGCTGAATCATGAAAATACACCACAAATGAACTTGAGCAACCTTACTCCGTGGACTGATGCTTTGTTAAAGAGTATTTTTTAAAGGAAGGAATGAAATCACCTGATAATTAACAACATTTGAATTTCCATAACTCACTCTTCAGTCTCCTGCTAAAGCTTTGTGTGAATCAAATTTCAGCTGAGAAACAGAGAGCCAATTTGTAAATCCAGAACAAACCAGGTTCAGCATAAGAAATTTGATAAACTTCCCTGCAGTGAAAGTCTCTCCCTTTAAAATGCTCTGACCACAAGACAGCCTGCTCGTGCTAACACCATGTGCCACACTTATGCAAATAACATTTGGTATGAAGAAGGGAAGTTAAAGAAGGATAAGGCTAAAAGGAAAAAAATATTATTTTATCTAGGTTTTTTTTTTAAAAAAAGGGAAGAATGCAGCTATCTGAAGAAATGCCCCCTGCCCCACAGCACTGAAAGCTGATCCTCAGACTGTTGTTTTCTGGGTGAATGTTGTTTTCTGGGTGAAGACTGTTCTTGTACTCAAAGCACGGAGTCCCTTACAGGCTCCAAAAGAGTTTTTACTGTTGCTTACTCTGAAAATCTGATGTTCAGATTTAAGGCATAATAGATTACCTAAAGAAGTGCATTGTTTGGAAAGTGAAATGATAAATCTTGAAAAGTCAAATCTTTGTCTTGTTAGCTTTCAAAGTTCAGGATTGTTTGTCTTCTCTCCTTTGTTCACTTCAGGCTTGCCTGGACGTTTCTTGTCCATACAAGAGGGAAGACAAATGGTTCACTCCAAAAGATATTACATCCAAGCATGGATCTGAGAGGCGTCATTTGCTTTTGAGTTTAAACATGGACATGTACTGAAATTGCCAGGCTTACACACATCATTACAGATCCTACAAAGTTGTGGTCTTGTACTCAACAGCAACGCTGAAAACGATTTTATCCACTTGCTGGCGGAGAGGTGCTCCTATTTGCTCCTTTAAGACCATCATTTTCCTAAAGGAGATGCTGCATTTTCACTAAACCTTTTTCTGTCTTACACAGATCCTTACAGATGAAGGCCAGAAGAAGGATTAATGACCTCAAAGGCTCGGCTGGAGCCGGGTGGTGGCTGAGTAGCCGTTCCCCCGCGGCAGCCGGCCCCCCTGCCAGGGCTCCCCCCACATCTCGCGTTGGCGGCTGCAGGTCAGCTTGTCCCCCCTCAGCCCCGCTGCCTCCGCGCGCACGTGCCCTGCTGCCGTGCCGGCGGGCGTGCTGCCTCTACTGAACATTTCAAAAGCCACGCAAAGGTATCCCTAACTAAGTAGGTAAGTGGAGGATTAAGCCTGACCCCTGTGATAGAAGAAAGCGACCAGCACTTTAACCTTTAAAAAGATCAAAAAAGTTACAAGATAATTTAAAAACCATGAGACTGCAAGTCTATAACCTCGCAGTCTCTGCAGTATTTTCCGATTTCAGCTGAGCTACTTTTTTTAAGCACCAATGGTAAGCTAAAGCTTTCTTCACCTCTGAAAGCACTGAAAGTAACCTTTCAGGCTCAGGAAGAAATCCACTTTATGATGGGTAACGCCTATTCCATCTCAGACTGCTTTTATTATTGAAGTACTGGGACACCAGTGCAACAAATCCCAGCAGAAAATGGATTTTTCCATCAAGTAAACACAGTAACACGATGTATAGAAGTAAGTCCTGTTCATATGCTCAAGGGTTTTTTCATACACCATAAACAAAAAAGAACTGCTCAGACACTTGCCTAAAGGCAGGAGCTCTGTGCTTGCAATTACTGAACAGGGTAAGGTATGGATCTGTGCTTCAGAAATCTGCTTTCCCCTACACTTGCCCAGGAGATTGTCCTTCAGAGCTGAATCAGGAGCAAGCGAGAGAAAGATAAGGAGTTAAAAGCTGCATAACAGCGAGCAAAATTAAACTTCCATGCCAGGTATATTATACACACACGCCCTGAGTAATTCCCCTCACTGTCATTCCATTCCCATTCAAAACAATTCCTGTAATTACATCCTTAGGAACTGAGTATTGTACTTTTACAATTACTCCAGTTTAGCTAGATCCAGCAACAATTTGGAACTAGATCATTACATTAATTAGAAGAGGAATTATTTTGTTTCCAGCCTAAAATGAAAAAAAGCCAGAAGGAAATTCTCCTGTACCTCCCTGTCCCTAACAGAGGTTCCAGCCAAACTGCTGCAAGACTGGAAAGAGGAGGTTTGGATTCAGACTCACTCGATTCTCCTTTAATCCTAACAGTATAAACCACTATTCACTCAAACTGCTCATTTAACTAGCAAAGCATGTTCTTAAGGAGAACATGTTAAAAGCAACAGAATACTCCACTAAAGTATTTTTATTTAGAAAGCAGTAAGACATTTCTATTTTTATACACACGAATCACTGTTGAATCAATAACTCATTACCACTAGCAAAGAAGTTTTGCTATGAAGTGAGATTCTATGAATTTGGTTGTTACCGTTAAATATATTATTTGCAGAATCATAAACAATAATCATGCATATGCTCCACTTCTGGCAAGTGGGGACCAACTGCAATAGCACATTTTTAAAAATAAAAAGAATATCCAGGTTCTTAAAAACACTTGAACATCAGCAGCCCCATCCTGCCATTTAAATTGTTTTTGTCTGTTGGCTTTGTAAAATTCAAAATATCCTTTCCTGACAGATATCTAAAGCCAGCATCATTTAGATCATTATGAACTATCCATAAAAAATTATGCAAGCATATTTTTCTAATTAGTTTTTTAAACCTTCTAACCAATTTAACACAAAAACCATTCTGCTATGAAAAAAGTCATACCCAACCCAGCTACACAGAACCAAGTGAATTTATTTACGCCTCCAACATGAAGAGGCCACAGAAGTCACTCAAACCAAGCACCCTTTGGTGCAACAGGTTCAGAATTGTGTATCCGTTGAAAGAATCACTGATACCGTTCCTTGAAACGGGACAGCTCTGAACTGCCGCCTGTTAAAGCGCCTCCAGGATTACCTCCTTGCTCTTGGCTTCCCAACATTTCACCTTGACCTTCACAGTTTCCCCACCCAGACCGCGCGCAAGCCGGTTACCTTGCGGACGTGACAGGAGAAGAGAACGTTCATGTACTTGTCCTTCCGTTTCAGCTCATTGGCAACAGGGATGAAAGAGCCCGTGGTCTGGGGGTTATCTGGTTTCTGAAAGAGCAAAGACAGGCACGTAACTCTTCTTGATTACTGAAGAAAGTAATTGCATTACGTCACAGCGGGCCAGAGAGGACTGCAGCTTCGCCACCTCGCCCGAAGGCTTCCTCCAGCCTGCGCCGCACCAAGGAGCAGCAGAGCATCTGGAGCTTTATGTGCTCTCTGAAAAAAAAAAATCTTAACAAAACAAAATGCTTAAAGGAAGGACAGAGTAAAAGGTAGAAATGCAACTTGCCTAGAGAGAATTTCTTTGTTCCCTTTCATTTTATGCTATTTCTTATCATCCCATTATATCTAGAATTTTAGTTTTACAGCGACTTCTCTCCTAGCTTTGGCCATTTGAAGAGCCAGCTGATGACATTATCTTTTACTGCTCCTTGTGATGTTCAAGCTAGGCTTAGTATTCAGAAAAATCACTCCTGGTGCAGTAGAAGTCAAAGACTCTGAAACTATATAAACCCATTTACAGATGAAATTTCAAGGTACTTCTCTCTCCCAAGAAACCAACAGTCACTTTTTCAAATTTCCACCCTTTAAGCATCCTAAGCCCCTACTATTGCATTGATCAGTTCACTCGTACTCACCAGTGCGATGTAATTGCCCTCCCATGCTCTTTGTAGGCCAATATCAGCTCTGTGACCCTTCAGCACTTCCATGGCAGCAACCTTGGCCCTCAGCTGAGGTAGGACTTCTGGTGGGACGCTCCGGATGAGCTCACCTGCTCTCCACCTGATGCAAAACACCTGATTCAGTTCCACAGTCTGTACCACATATTGGGAGGACTAATTCTGCCAGACCAACACAACAAGGACACCCCTAGACTATAAACGTCAGGGGAAAAAGAAGTCCTTCCATTGCATTCATAAAGCTGGAAATATCAGCTACCCTTTTAAAATCACTTATCTCTGATTCCTAACAGATTTGGCTGGTATACAAAATGTCCCATACCCAGAAGTCAACTACTGGCACATCTGTTTGCAATAAAGTTTTTGTTAGACCATTTTTTGGCTCATTTACAATATCCTTTTATCTCCATCAATAGATGAATTTGGCCCTACAATTGAAACCTAACCAACTGTAACATCAAACAGGGCAGGGTAGCCCATCCATTACTCCATACCACACTCCAGCCTTCAGCAGCAACACCAGATCTCCAGGATTAATGCTATGAAAAGACTTTCAGCAACTAAAATTTTGTAGTAATGATAATTGAGCTTATTCTGAAAGCAGGACTCTCTACCCAGATGGGCTGTGGATGGCTTTCAAGAGACAGCTGGGATAAAAAACAAGGCTGACTTGATCTAGTGCTGGTGGTAATCCCCCTTCAAGCAGATGGCTGAACCGGAGATCTCTAGAGGCCCCATCCAGCCAACATTTCTCTTTTTCAGAGACTTTCAGAAGTCATCATTTGTCAAACTGGAATCACAGAATTGTTGGGGTTGGAAGGGACTTTAAAGATCATCTAGTTCCAACCTCACCCTGCCCCGGGCAGGGCCCCCTTCCCCCAGCCCAGGGGGCTCCCAGCCCCGTCCAACCTGGCCTTGAACCCTTCCAGGGAGGGGGCAGCCACAGCTGCTCTGGGCACCCTGGGCCAGCGCCTCACCACCCTCATTATAAAAAATTTCTTCCTTATGTCCAACCTAATCTACCCTCTTTCAGTTTAAAGCCATTGCCCCTCGTGTTGGGACTACTGGCCTTGGTAAAAAGTCCCCTTTAAATACTGAAAGGGTCGCAATAAGATCTCCCCAGAGCCTTCTCTTCTCCAGGCTGAACCCCCCCAACTCTCTCAGCCCGGCCCCCCAGGGGAGCTGCTCCAGCCCCCCCAGCATCTCCGTGGCCTCCTCTGGCCCCGCTCGAGCAGCTTCGTGTCCTTCTGCTGTTGGGGGCCCCCGAGCTGGACCCAGCACTGCAGGGGGGTCTCCCCAGAGCGGAGCAGAGGGGGACAATCCCCTCCCTGGCCCTGCTGCCCCCCCTGCTCTGGCTGCAGCCCAGGGCACGGGTGGCTAGGTAGTTAACTACTTTGCCTACAACTTAGCAGAGAAGAAAGTCACTAACTTTTAGATATTAGGAGGTTGTAATAAATGTATAAAATACATCTTCTGCATATATAATATGGGTGAATAGTGGAACATTGCTTGTTCTACTGCAGAAAAATACTGGCTTACTATAAGAAGACTTGAGAAAGTTGAGAAGATTCCTTTTTTCTTTCCCCTCACCCAACAGCTGCTGCTCTTTTCCTATAAAATCAACCAGAAAGGCCAGAAGGGAGCCAAGGAAGGAAATAAAATGTCCATCCTGAATAAATCTTTGAAACAGAATAATTATTTGCCCTGCCAAGGGTACCAAAAGCCACTGACATGTTTGTCTACAATGTCCAGTTAATGTTCTTCAGTCATTTTTTCAACTTTTATGGAACATGCAGTAGCTGTTCATTCCTACTAGGTTACACTGAAAAGACAAGAGGTTTTTCTTTGTACCTATGGTAAATGTTCTGGAGTGACTCTTCAAATCGACGCAGCACTTTTGGTGGAGTGGGCCACTGCACGTGTTTGCCATAATCCTTCATTAGCCTCACATTGTGAAAGCGCCGGGCAACCTCGTGGATGTAGGCCTTCACTTTGTAGCGGCGGTAATACTTGATTATCGTGAGGGCGGCCTTTGTCCTCTTATAGCGAAGGCGAGCCAAAGTGCCTCTCCAAACCTAAGAGTCAGTGGAGAAATAGCTTTAGCAATAAAAAGCAGGATTTTTTTTTTTTAATTTCTGTATTCCTCCTATACTGCTGAAAGGAAGTGACTTCCCTGTGCCAATCAAATCTAATTAAAACATCACTGAAAAACCACCGTGTTTACCAGTGTATTGAGAAACAATTTTAACTCAGATTAAAAAAAAGGATTTCTTTGCAAATAGTTTGGGGAATATCTATTCTGATGCTCCGGTGCACCGAAAAGCAAGCAAATATGCAAAACAAATGAGATCCTCCCAAGTTGCTGGATGGGAAGCCAGCTCCACCAGCATCGCCGTGAGTCTTTATTTGTGCCTGGAGAGCACCAGAGGCAGAAAACGCGCCGTGTTCTGGGCTGCTCCTTCTGACAGCCCGTGCGAAGAGGCACTCGGGGGGCTGGTGCAGAAGGGCTGCTTGCAGTGCTGGCGTGTCGGCGCACCCCCACCAGCTCCTGACGAAGAGCCCGCGCCCCACGAAGCACGGCAGCGCCCAGCCAGGCTGGGCCGGGCCCGCTGCTCCTCTCCTGTAACCGGAGAGATGCACGTTCACCTGAGCACTCTCAAGCTGGCATGCACATCCCTGAGGGACTCGTCAACAGCTGTGCTTTCCCTCTAATATAATCCACCAAGATGAAGACTGTATTTTTGTTTCATTGTGGAATTAAACGGGAAGGATAACGAGCCTCCTGAATACCAAGAGTGCTTCACTGCTCGCTACGGGCCCTGCTGGAGAGTTTATTTCCCTCTCGAGAAACATCCCATAGCACCACTGATGCATATCAAGCCTTCTATTTACAGAAGAATTAATTAATTACCCGAGGCAATTTCCAACATGATATTCACTTTATGAAGCTGATGTCAAAGGTTCTCTTGACAGCTTTACTGATAATCCTGATACGTGACTGAAAAAAACTATATGTAGCAAGCAGTATAACAGATGTGAGGGGCTGCTCTTCTCTACACACTCAAAATTCAATGAGGAAATAGAGATTTTGTGTCCCAAATCCCTCAAAAGCAGAGAACTCTCTTCTCTCAGCCTCTGTCAGAGCAGCCCCTCCTCATTCTGCCTCGGCCTCACCACCCTTCCATGGGATATCTCCCGTTCATGACAGACATGATCCACGTAGCTCTGGCAGAAACCGGGGAGTTGCTTGAGCACCCACCACTTCACTGGTGCGTTTGATGCTCTGTGAAACACATTTGTGCTCTAGCACGCCAGGACAGAGTCAAGACCCTACACAATGCTGCCCAAACACCCGAGGGAAGTCTGAGCAAATCCACCCCTCAACTTGCATTTTATCATGTCCAAATGACTGTAAGCCTACAACCTCCAACATTTTATTCCAAGATAGAAACCAGTCTTCAAAACACTATGAAATCACCCTCAACCCTCTGTCATTCTGTGGCTCGTTTAGCATGATGAAGGCCAAACTGCAGCTTCTAAGCCCCATACGGCTGAGAAGCAGATGGAGCCCAGCTCACTCCTATACTGCACGTTGCATATTGTTGGTAGGAAGAGGAGGAAGGAAATGATCCTGGACAGAAAGTGCAGGAAAACGTACTAAAGCGAACAAGCGGGGCAACAACTCAACACATGCAAGGTGACCAAAGGCAACGTGCTTCTTATCAGACCCCAGTCCCTGCCAGGAGCCGCTCTCCGAAGGAGGGTGTGGGAATAGAGCCCGTTTCAGTGGTCAAAGGGAGGAGCTGGGGACGTGAGGCAGGACACGGGACGGCGAAGGGAAAGGCAAGAGCAGGAAGCCCAAACAGCAGCTCCTGTAACCACGGCAGAGAATCGGCACTGCTGCACTGACCAGACCCACAAAGCCGGCAGGAACACAAAGCACGAGTTAAACGCTGAACAGTGGACTGGTACTGAAAATCTCAACGCAGCGTGCATATAAAAGAATATATAACTCTTTCCTTATTTATTCTTCAAAATCATTAGACAGATTGAGGGACAGCAGCACCCTCTGCACCACATATGCTGTTCTTAGCAGTCACTTTTAGTGCACTCAGTTATAATTGTAGTTTTAGTTCTGTATAACCTGCATATCTCAAAGAGATACAAGAATGTTGCCATATAAAGGGCATCAGAACTCCTAAGAAGCTCAGGGCTTCCTGAAGCCACAAGCTAAAACCAACTTGCACAGGGCCTGGATTTTACCCAGTGTATAAAGCTGATTTAAACCTAGCATTTCCATGTCTGAGGCCATATCAGATTCAGAAATTGTATGAATTTGGCAGAATTGGCAACTAGAATAAAATAATTGAGCATCTAAAGAGCGCTGAAGTAATTTGTGCTCTTTTTTGAAGAAAAGTGAAAAAGACTTGGATTGCTTGAGACATTTAACATCAACCGATGCATCACAAAACGTACCTTCAAGGAATGTATGGACAGTGAACAAGGTAAACTGGGTAAAAACCCACTACCAACTTTTCAGTTTTTAATTTAATAGGAATAGAAATGAGGAACAAAAGGTGTCAGGTTGCAGCTAAACAGCCTTCTGAACATTATAAAAGATCTCAAGAAAAGAACATGCACGGTAAATCTGTATAAGCTGCTAAAGACTTTGTAGAGCTTCACTTCTGTCAGTTTTCCCCCAAAACAATTAGAATTGTTTTTAGATAGAGAACAAGGTTTTGATTTTGCTTCCTTGTGCTTGAAGTGGGCATGCTCTTGAGGAAAGTCTCTTGCTGTGGTTATTTTTTACACCAGTCAGACATGGGTGGAACAAAGGCGCTGTAACAGATTGCCCCGATGTTGTATCAGCTGCATCGCTGCAGAAATTGGCTTCACAGCAAGAAGTGTCACAATTGCTACAAACACTAGCCTTCCAAATCCAATTATCCAGCCGAGGCATGCCCCTTGGCTACAGGCAAGCAGTAAACTATTAATGAAAAGCATGTCCTCAAATCAAGTTGTCATAACTGGATAACCTCACTTCTAGTAAGGACCTTTCTCATCACCATAATGGCAGCGCCTCCCAAAAGTAAGGAGAAAGCCAAAGATAAGAATAAAGTTCTCCCCGGGAATGGGCTACAAATATTCTTTTAAATCAATTGTTTTTCTGGCTTAGTGTTCTTTTCAACCACAGGGCTTATTTCTGCTCAAAGCAATCCATCAGTAATGATGCATTGCCAAGACAAGCTGACTGCCCGATGGTCTAGCAGACTCTTCCAGAAACATGGACAACCTACAAACAAGAGGAGGCTGTCAAAGCAACAAATTCCCCGCTCAGCAGCCACTTTGTGTGGTTGGGAGCAATGGGTCTGAACCACACCCAAGACAAAGGAGGCTGCTGGAGTGCTTCCTACCGACACCCGTTGGGTGAGCACTACCTCTTCTCAACATACCTTTTCAATTCTTCCCCCCCACTTCCAGTTCATAACTCAAGAATGTTAAGCACTGTAAAATGAAATTTAGAAATCAAATTTCCAGAGCTAAGTTTATCATGGCACTTAACAGATTCTCATGTTGCAAAAGCTACTTTAGTGTTATACACTGGGGGTGGAGCCATAGCCCCCAGGAGATCTGCATGCCAAAAACCCAACTGAAAGAAGATCTGTGCATCCAGGATTCTACTTCCTTCTTTTGGCCTTCTGTAGCCAAGATAATGTCCAAGTCATTTTTATACATAGTTCAGAAAGAATCCAACAGCTCACATGCATCACCTTTCTGAAACTTGACAACCAGTGAGCAGCTTTCAGCTTGAGCTCAAATCAAAGCTACGCACCAGCAAGCTGGTAGTTTCAGCACCTGCATTTAACAAATCTTGCAAGGACAGAGTAAAGAAGCCTGAGAATCGCAGTGCCCTCTATCATTCTTCCCACAGGCAAGAATAAAACGATACTTCCTTTGCCACCCTTCTGTGGCCTTCACTTCTGGTTAACCTGGTTCCCATAAAAATGAGACTAAGGATAACCCTAACCCCGACTGACCTCCCGAGATTGCCCTGATACCATCTGAATCTCTAACCAGCTTCAAGCAAATCTGACAGAGGAACAGAAGACTCAAAGAGGCAAGTCCATATATCTTTCAGGAAAAATCAACAGCAGGGTAGAGCAAGTCTCAAATTAGAATGACATTGCTGGAAACGCTTCAGAATGAGCTCAAGAGCCATCTGCCTTCTTTGATCTCCAAATCCCAACCAGAACAGGCGAAGCTCCGAGCCAGGCACAGCCACATGAGACCGCGTGCCAAGCCAAACAGGTAGACGAAACTAGAAGGATCTGGCAGTGCTAGTATTCCAGGGGGATGAGAAGGTAGAGATGTGTGCAGGACACAAGGGAAGGAGTGGAGGACATGTAGAAGATTGGAGAGTATTGGCAGTGAAGCGGTTACAAGAAGAAAATTGATTGTTGTGATTGTGGGGTGTCAGCAGCGTAGGACAAACCCATAGGAAGCCAGGCTCACAGAAAAGCTTGTTTGATGACCATTTCCAAAGTGACAGACTGAAGAGCAGAGTCCAAAGCAATCAATTTTGTCATCAATTAGCGCAGTGCCTAGTGACCAAGCAAGAGCAAGAGGCATTGTGCAGGACACGCTATGGAACAGATTGTCCTCTACAAGAAGAGCTGCCCAAGGAGACAAGGCAGGGCAGGGTATAGGGAGGGGAATAACCAGCAACACGTGTTGGCTCCACAGTGTGCAGGGAAGGGGACCGTGAGCAAATTAAGGACTCAAGAGCAGAGACTTGTAACTATGGTTAAGTTTAAAATGGAAAGAAAAGGAGTTTTTAAGCTTTAAAAAAAATTAAAACCAACCAACCAAACAAACATTACCCCCCATTTAGTCCCCACCCACGGTCTCTCCTCATCTCTTTCAATATCTCTGTCTTATCCTCTATGCTTTGTTCTCCTAAAGGTCAGGTGAAGAAAAATTAACAGGGCATGTGAAATTATGACCGAAGGGCTAGGAAGATGGACAGAGAGAAAGGAAAAGATTGGAAAACAAAGTCTGAACAACACAAGAAATT